CTGTCAAAAACGCTGTTTTCTCTTTGTCGTCTGGGTGTACATCGACTTCCCAATAGCCACTTTTTAGATCGAGACTTGAAAACCATTTGGCTCCGGCCAGCCTGTCCAGGGTGTCGTCAATCCGGTGTAGTGGAAAGCAATCCTTCTTGGTGACGTCGTTCAGCTTCCTGTAGTCCACACAGAAACGGAGGTCTCCATTCTTTTTCCTGACCAAAACGACCGGGGAAGACAAAAGGCTGTCCGATTCTTCTATAGCCACCTGTCCTCGCATGTTGTCAAGCATTTCCTTTACTTCTGCTTGTTTTGCCAGGGGTACTCTCCTCGGTGGCTGTCGAATTGGTCGGGCTTCTCCCGTGTCTACTAGGTGATATACTTTGTTTGCCGTTCCATAATCTTCGTTGTCCTTCGCAAAGATATCCGCGTACTCGGACACGAGTTCCTCTAATTCTTGAAATTCTCTGGCGCTTAGGTGTGGCTTGGCCGTTGTGGTCATTTCCGCTAATTCCGGGTTTAGCCCTGGTGCTGGTGGCTGCCCCACATCGAGAAAAGTCACAAATGATACTGGATCACAGTACGCCAGAGGAGATCCTCTCCTGGGCTTTTGGTCCCTGTGAGTAACATTCATGCCCTTCACTGGTACTTCCTGACTGTCCTGATCTAGGGTCCTGGCTACATAGATTCCATCAGGCGGATGGGCCTACTGACTTAGTTCTACTAGACCATTCTCTACTCCCAGATGATTCTTCATTTTAGCCATCACTATCCCCTCGTTCTGTGGGGATATCACATGGTCCTATGCCACTACTAAGCTGGAAGGACGGGGTCCTGCCCCAGGACTCCATAACGATACTTCTTCTTCTGCCAGACGCAGAGTTCAATGCGTTTACATGTTTCTGTCAGTTTTAATCATCTTCAGAAGGCAATAAAAACATGTTAAGGAACTACTATTGCATATATCACAGTGTATATAAATATTTTATAAAAAAAATTTCAATTAAGTTATAATAAATTATTAATGTCCACAGATATTATAAAACTAATCCAACTGCCTTTGCAAGGAAAATATTTATATCGTTAGCTAGTTAAGGCTACTATTAAATTTGACTGGCTTAAATGGCAGGAATCTGGAAAATAATAGATCTCTCTTTTTTTTTTAATTGTTTCTTTCTGGTCCGTCACACTAACAATTACAAATATGAATTACTCTGTCCAATGTGACCTGTAAGTTTATTACTACATGAAAAACTTAACACCCTTACATGTTTCGGTCTCTGCGGACCATCTTCAGAGGGCAAACATCACTACAAATAGGAAACCACCTTCATATAATTTGTTTAGACGTAAAGTACGTACACTTATATGTTACAATGCATAGTACACAAAATAGAACATTTCACAAACACAGCTGTTTCCTGGGAATGTAAGTTTTTAAAAATTATTTAAAATTTCTTGATGCTAATTAAAAATTTTTTCATTGTCAATAATTAAAATTCATAAACCATGCAGGCTTGTGTTCGTCCTCCCATCGTCCCTCTTGCATGGGGCAGATATTGTGCCACCGTCTATCTTGATGTGGAGGTTCTTTATATCTCCCAGGGTTTGCTCGTGGCTGCTGTGCTGTTTTCACTGTTCACTGTATGCTCTGATTGTAAACCGCATAATTAGATCTAAGCTTAAATATGCGTCCGTAGTCTGAAATTCAATTACGTCAACTGATGGAAACAAGCTGGAATACATCTAGTAGAAGTATGTGGTCCTCTGTTTTAATGGTTTCTTTTCTAAAGTCCTTTGCCGTTATTCTCTTGCTCTGAAGGAGTTAAAATTGCATACTCTACGTATTACGAGGCATCGCCTCAATGTTCTCTTCCTTGCTCAAGGTTACCTTGGTATAAAATTTTGCCCTTCGCTTTGGAAATTGTTGGTCTCAGAGTTCCTGCTCAGTATATCAGACACATGGCATTGTTCAATGTCTGCTCCTCATATAAAAATTGTCCCTCAGCTAGATGTGCATCAGCTGCTAATGTTGTTTGCAGGGACGTTGACTTATTCGGTGACACAGATGTTCTCCTCAGCCGTTTTTGTAATATGCTTTAATTGGTAGTATTATTATTTGCACGTACGTAAATGGAATTGTATTTAATTATTCTTTTTCAAATATTTATTCTCTATATTTCTTAATTCTCAATAGCATCTTAAGTTTATTTTTTAATGAAATTATTATTCTCAATAACACTTTGTTTGTTTGGGGCACGCGGTAGCGTAATTTGTTGAGGCACTATGCTACAAGCGGGAAGGTCGCAGGTTCGAGTCCCGATGAAGTGGAGTTTTTCAGTTGACCAAATCCTTCCAGCTGTACCATATCCCTGGGCTGGTGTCGACTCGACCTCTAACAGAAGTGAGTACCAGGAATATTCTTGGGGAAAGGAGCGTCCGGCGTGTAAGCCTGACACAAAGCTCAGCGGTCCAAGATTTTAAGTATTAAAAACATTAATAATTTATTTTTAACTTAAACGCCTATTAAAGTAATTAAATATCTGTATACAAAATTAAGTTTATGTACTATGATATATGTAATAGTAGTTCCTTAACATGTCGTTATGTACATGTTCACAGCTGACCGAAGCGTGTAAAGGCATTATATAAGTACGTATACACTGAGTCACGCTGGGCAGTGTTGTCAAATAATTTTATATGAATTTCGATTACTTAGTAGCAAAGGTATCAATAACTAAATTTTGTTACAGTTTCTGTTACTTACGGACGAGTTGTTATACTTTCTGTTACTTACGGCTTCATTCCATTTGTACCCTCGTATAATAACTTTTTCAACGTTAAAATCCCCTGTCGTGGGTCTAAATGTGCTTGACCCCAAGAAGAACTGATAGTTGGCAAAAAGTCAATCGTAAAGTAATTTTAACTTAAACTTAAATTAGTTGAGTTCCGTGCGGGAAGCTGTGAAGATAGAACTTGAGCGCGTTTTTCTGTTGTATGTTGGTGACTAGAACTACAGGTTCACTTTTGCAGTTATATGTCGAGGAACCTGATTAAATTGTTTCCGCAAAATCGCTAATGGGGAAAAATTGCAATACACTGTAATCAGCCTTCCACCAACAAAAACATTAAGAGGTTATATGTATATGGACCCGTCTACCAATTGTCTTAGTTGATGATTGAGCTTTAGGCGTTTAAGGAAAACTGTTATGCTCATTTGAACAAAGGAAACCAGATACAAAACTTGACTTTAAAAAGAGTGCATTGAATATATACTTGAAATCCTGGATAATAATTGGGATTGTCATAAAACTGTGAAAGTCGTCGTTAATTTGCAAGAGAATGCTGTAAGCGTCTGTGTTGTGAACATAATTCTGCGAGTGAAATAGTAACCATTATAATAATGAAAATTATATTGTAGCGTGCTTGTAAACTGTGGAAACCCGCAACAGTGTTGTAGTTAATTGTAGCCAAGACTTGTAGGTTGTTAAGTAAGCCAATTAACAATCTGAACGGCGTCTTCAGTAACTAAACACGCTACAATATGCACTATATACCAGCTGGAGTTGTGAGAGATTGTAACAAATATGCAAAAAAGGAGAAGTCCTTTAATTTTTTTAAGGTTATCTTCATGGGAGTATGAGGAAACTCCCATGCCAATAGAACAAATTGTAAACACTCATTATTAACGCTCACTTTATATCAATATAGTTTAATTACAACTACTTCGTATATTCTTTCAATACCAGCGCACACTTAAAAGTATTAGATTGTCGACGACAATATTTCACAAGTCCTAGGAAAGAAAAGAGTTTTATTTCTTTTTCTGGCATTCTTCAATACAGTACACAACACATTAACAACTAAATTATACACATCAAGTCAAAAATGAAACTTCCCTAGTTCATTACTTTTGGGAGGTGCTATGACGTTATCGATAATGAATCAATATCATACACTTTCAAAGAACGAGTTCGTTAATTGCCAATAACAATGAAGGTGAAAGAATTATTTACTATTACAAAGATTAGTATAATCTTCCAGAAGACTGAAAATTGTGTTACTGACTTCGAGTGATTGGCAGAAAAAAAATTAATTTGCCGATATACAGGTATTATTTCGAATGCATTACCTGTTATGCATGTTATTCTATCTTCGTCTTTACTGCCGTTAGCACACAATAAAGATTCGAGTCCCGAGGTCGATGAAAACATCTTTGTCTCAGGATAATATTTTTCAAGTTCTTGTTGTCTAGCTAAATATTTAAACATATTGCCTTTTTATTCTCAATATATACTTTCGCTTTTGCTTCTGGTGGTGAAAAATATGCATTTGTTTGCACTAAATGCTGAAATACATGTCATAAATACACGACAAAGTACCAGCTTACACGTGCCATTGATAAATTTGGCCAAATATAAGAATAGTGTGTGTTGTATGGGTATTAAAATATTTAATAATCTGCCACATAATTTAAGAAAATTATCGAGTGATTATAAAAAATTTAAGTTAGCTATAAATAATTTTCTCTTAAATCAATCATTTTATTCGATAAATGAATACTTGGAGTGGTCAAAAGAAAGGAAATAGAATACAGGTGAATATTTGTTTTATTTAGATACACTTATGTGTAGTAGTTTTTGTAGACTCTGTATAAATGTATGTATACTTTTATTATTAATTGCTTATAATGTCCGTATTTTAGTTATTATTGATTTATTATACTAAGCATTGACTAAGTTGTATTATTGCAACTGTTTTATTATAGTATATGTTACTATTTGGGACTGCTTCTACAACTGTGGTGATTGTGTCGCCTGTACGTTTTTCTTGAAGCAATAAAGATATTATTATATTATTACTACTTGACTAATGTGAACGAACTTCACTGTTCACTAATGCCTGGCGGTGCCCGGTGTGAACAATGCTTGGAGGCCTTGGCGGCACTGAGCAGTACTGAGCGGTACTGAGCGTACTGAGCGTACGGAGAACGGAAGAGAAACGCAGCAGAGATGTCTGTAGGATGTTTTGTGTGACCGGTTGTGCTGTAGGAAGCGGGGTTTGTTTTTTGATGCAGCAGTGTTTTTGAAAGATGTATTATATTATAGTTGTATATGTTTGTTTAACGAAGTAATGTTTAATCGTATTCATGACGTAAAATTCTGCCGAGTAACAGTTTGCTATGGATAACAGGAATGTTATTGTCAAATGGACAAATTGTTGCCGTTTATGTCTTCTTGATGATGGCATTAAATTGCATATATTTGAAGAAGAAGGGATCCAAAGACAAGTTGCACGCAAAATAGAGACATGTTTTCCGATTTTGGTAATAATAAGTTCCGTTTAGCTTTACATGCTATAGGTGTGAAGTTCCCATTGCTAAATGTTCTTTTCCTTTCTTTTTGTAAACATGAGTTATTCTTTATGAGCAGCAAGGCCTACATGTGGGGCTTAATTCTCCACTCATAATGTGGCATTGGTGAAACATCCTCCGATCTTTACTTCAGAGTTCCTTGTTAGTGACTTACTTTGAACTTTACATGTCTGACATACTCCCACCATCATGAAGATATGGAAAAGTAGGTGGTGGTTCATATTTACACCTCAGCAATAAAGATTCATACATCAGAATCCATGTAAAGAGGAGCAGGTTTCATATCTACTGGAAGATAAAATTTAAGTTTATTTACTATAGTATTAGGGGATGGTAAAAGAGAGATTATAAAGTGGTCATCTATAAGTGGGCCCATCCTTGCCATAAAACCTGACACCTTGTGACAATTTTGTAAGCAGTATACAACCTTAGACACACGTGAAGAAATGATTGTGTTTTGACAGTGGATCACAAGAATATGTATAATTAATTCTTTAATTTACTGTGATACTCTATTTTATTCTGATTATATACTTAATGGTATTCTGCATTTGTTCATGACAAATATAATTTTGCAATAAGAAATAACCAGTGTGTATTATGCACATGATACAAAGAAAACAAGAATGAAGGTGTAGATACTTCATCTTGAAAGAGTAGTTGTGTGCTGGCAGTAAAAATCATAAAATTATTATTGAACATGATATGTACAGTTCTCAGTATAATCTGAAACATTCATGAGCTCTAATTTTAGTTTGGTGGGTTTGAGGCATTCCATGTTTCTTTCCCACAAGATTTGTTTTCCAGTGTGTGATCCAGTTCTGTTAAATTTGAGGTTCTCATAAAAGTGACAGCAAAGATCACTGCCTTTGAGGATGTGATGCAGGAAGGAGGAGGTAGCAGGTTCCTCCAGATGTTTGTACATGTCTAGCATACTACATGGCCTCACATGATGGAAGAATGTAAACTTCAGTTCTGTTAAAGCTTGTAGCAGACAACAGTTACTTTGTATGTGTGGTTGTCTGCTGGCTTGTTTGAGAATGAAATAAAAAATCCTGAACAGCCTTTTCTGAACTGGGAAAAGACATGCATCTGTAAGGCATGCTCACTAGTTCCGTTATTAAATCTTTGTAAGATGTAACTGTTACGATAGCCCAAATCATTTTCATGTTTGATGGTATGTGCAAGCAGTACTCTTTAGGTTGAGAGGTTTTATTGTCAGTTGACAGAAGTTGGAAAAGGTAAACTTGTACTGTAGATTATACAGAATTTGATATTTTTGTCTCTGCATATGACTGAACAGGTTTTGTATTGCATTTCACTGATCTCCCAGTTACTTTGTATTATGCTAATGAAATTGCATTTCTATATGTATCTTGTTCTGGAGTTGCAGGTTGGTGCATACCACTGCTATTTTATTATCAGAGACTAATTGGTTTAAACTCTATGGGTGGAGGGACTGGATTTTAGTTTGGGTGTTGGGATTGAAGTAATGTATATGTTTGGGACTGTAACTACTAATACATTCAAGTAAACAACATTTGAAATAATGAGTGACCAAATTTCATAGAGCTACATTTATACTGTTATGAAAGTCATTGTTTTGAATAATGTCATAACAGTTCAGAAATCCCTCTTCCTCATCCATGGAGCTGAGCCCTTCTTGAGAAGTCACCAGTTGTGCAACTACTCAAGAACTTCCCAGCATTTTATAGAACCTGAAGGTTCAATCCACTGGTCCCTATCCTGAGCCAGATCAATCCAATTGATACCCTCCCATCCTATATCTCTTTAAGATCCATTTTGATATTGTCCACCCACCTACATCTTCGTCTTTCCAGTGGTCTCTTTCCTTCTGGCTTTCCCATCAATATCCTATACACACTCCTTAATTCATGCTACATGCCCTGCCCATCTCATCCTCCTTGACTTGATCATTCTAATTATACTTGGAGAAGAGTACAAGCTATGAAGCTCCTCATTATGCTGTTTTCTCCAACCTCCCATGGCAGGACTGGCAAGCCTTTCCCCAGGTGGGACAATCCTTCTGCATGCTCAGCCACATAAAACACTGTGTAACCAGCTTCCTTGTTGCTTTGGGGCCTGGTTGTGACAGATCATGGACAGACTGAAACCCTTTGAGCTGTAGGAGAGCTGGCATGTAAAGTCGAGATCTGGTAGACGTGTCGCAGTAGATGAAGACTGTGGTACCAGGGGTTGGTAGTTTCTCGAGCAGCAGGGCAGTGGTTGACCCCATGAGTGCTTGGATCTCATCGTCACTGTCCTGCGAAGAGGTCAGTGCATCGTAGGATGGTGGCACAGTGACAGACTAGATGCAAGAGAGGGTGTTGGTGATAACATTGACCTGTCCAGAAATGTGCCTTATGTCTGTCGTGAACTGGATGACAAACTCTAAATGATTGCACTGCCGTGATGAGCATTTGTTCCGCTTCTGCTGGAAGGCATAGGTGATGGGCTTGTGATCGGTGAAGATGATGAAGTGGCGTGTTTCCAGCATATGGCGGGAATGCTTTACAGCCTTGTAGATAGCTAGTAGCTTGCGGTTGTAGGCACTGTACCTGGGCTTGGCCGGGGTGAGCTTCTTGGTGAGGAAGGCGATGGGCTGCTGATGCATTGCTTCAACATGGCATCCATGGTGGATGTGGAGGTGTCTGTGATGAAGCTAGTGGCACGGATTGATCGGAGTGTGCCAGTAGTCTGGTAGTCTGGTGCGTGACAACTTCCCCTTGTCCTTTTTGAAGGCCTTGAGGAGTTTTGGCATCCAGGTGATGGGGTGGGAGCCCTCATTCATTCATTCATTTATTATTTCACCATAGATCCATTAAGAAATTACATTCTGTGAATGTGGTTACTGTCATGACAGCTTAAATACATAATGCAGCAATGCATTAATCAGCACGTATGTAGTACATGATATATAATATGTGGTAGATACATTGTAAAACATTAAAAGATACACATTAAGCATAAACCTGTATTATACAATATCGATACACTCAAATGCATTTACATTTGTAATGAAAATACTCATTCAACAGATAAAATGAGTTTGCATATAAAAAGCACTAGACTTTGGGGCCGGAGATAATGTCATGCCATGGTGCCGGGGTTGCCGCATGGGACAGAAATCGCCTATAGAAGTTCAGCATGCCCACAAATTGATGGAGCTGTTTGGCAGTCTTGGGAGGGTGGCAGTGCTGGAGATGGGTCACTCATTCTTCCAGAGGTTGGGAATCCTTGGCAGACACCTTGTAGTTGAGGAATGTGATCTCAGGTGCTTGGAAGATGCACTTGGCTGGTTTGATGATAATGCCATACCTCTGAAGTTGGTTGAAGAGATCCTGTAGATGTTGTTCATGCTCCTCGAGTGGCCAGGAGAAGACAAGGATGTTGTCCAAGTAGGAAAAACAGAAATCAAGTCCCCGCAGAAAGTCCATGAAGTGTTGGAAAGTCTGGGCAGTGTTGCGCAGGACGAAGGACATGAAGGGGAAGTCGAATAGGGTGAATGGAGTGGTTATGGCAGTGTTCTATATATTATCGGGATGGAAGGAGATTTTATTGTAAGCTATCACCAGGTCGATCTTGGAAAAGATGGAACAATCGAAAAGCTGATGGTAGTAGTCATGAATATGACTGACAGGGTAGCAGTAGGTGATAATCCAGATGTTTTAAGGCTCTGCAGTTGGTGAATGGACACCAACTGTTTTCCTTCTTTGGCAGAGTGTGTAGAAGGAAGACCAGGAACTCTGAGTGGCGAGCTGTGCCATTCCGCAACATGGCGTCGAATTCGGCTTTGGCGATAGCAAGCCAGTCCGGTGTCAGTCGGTGTGGCCGGCAAGTGATCGGTGGGCCTGGTATAGTCCAGAAGTGATGGAGAATGTTGTGGAGCACTTTGTGCTGGTCTCTGGCTGGGCAAGGAGGCTGTGTACCGATGTGTCCCCAGTGACGGTGTTGAGGCTGGGGATCAGCAAGCTTGGGCTGGTACAGATAATGAAGTGATTCCATCCAGTAGGCCGTTTTTTTTTGGCTTTCCACAAGGAGGCCGAAATGAGAAAGAAAATCCACGCCGATGAGGGGGTGTGTGACGTTGGCCACCAGGAACCACCACATAAAATCCCTACAAAGTTCCAAGTTGAGGTTTAGGGGTACCCATCCATGGATGTGGATTGTAGTGCCGTTAGCCACACAGAGGTCATAGTTGACCCATTCCTTGCATCGCAGAATGAGCCTGTGGGGGTATACGTGGAGGTCAGAACACGTGTCGACCAGGAACTGCCATTTTCTAATCCTGTCGGTGACAAAAAGGCGGCCTGTGGTTGTAGTGCAGATATGTGCCGCCACTGATGTTCACTGGGTTAATTTCCGTGCTGTTGGTAGGCACAGGGTGGAGTACACTTTTGCGCTTTGGCTCTGAAGCAAAGATAATTCCAGCAGGGGGTGGATGCAGTGTCTTCTTGGGAGAGGGATGTGCTGCCCAAACGGTGGTTCCTGGAGTTGGCCCGAAGGCGGTCCTGGCCGGCGCCGAGTGCTGCTACCTAGTGGGGGGGGGGGACTCAATCACCTGCAGAAGTGCAGTGTTGTCAGGGGGTGGACCAGTGCTAGTGAGTGCCGGCTGGGATGCGACCTCGGAGATGCAGTCTGCACAGCGGGCTGCAGCGTTCAAGCTGCCCTTGTGTTGTCCAGTGAGAATGGTCTGTACGTTGGGGGGTTGCCAGCTGGACCAGATGCCTAGGAGGAAGTCATCTGGCATGTCTGGGGCAAGGCTCCTGAGGTGCCTCAGAAACTGGGACAGCATATGGTCTCCCATCTCGAGTGTAAGGAGCTGGTGAATGCGTTGTTCTCTCGAGGAGGACAGCCACCTCATGAACTCGGTCTTCAGCATGGTGTAGGGGTATTGATCTGGCAGAGAGGTGATCATGTCCTCTACCTCTGTGGTGTACTGGTAGTCCAGCTGCAAGATCACATGGCAGAACTTGATCTTCTCGCTGCTGATACCAGCTAAGAAAAACTGCACCTCAACGCTAACCCCACAGCTGGCTGCTCGGCCCAGAATGGCGGAAGCCACACAACCACTCTGAATACATCTGTTGGTGGGGAACTGTCTGCATCCTCCATGCTTCGTTGGGGTCACCAATGTGGGATGTCGATGCTTGAAGAGAACCACGTGAAACTATAACAAATGTTTATTGCTCTTAGAATGAATATTACAGATGATCAGGGAAGCAGAGCATGCCTGCTGGATACTGGCGAAAACTCCTTTTATAGAGGACCATCCTGAGCTAATGACGGCGGTTATATTGTCCCTGAAAAGAGCCATTTGTCAGAAGCCGGGCATGCCTGCTTGAGGCCAGGGGAAGCTCTCATCACAGCAGGTTAGCCAGCGCCAGTGTCGGTGTTCTTCCTTGCAGCACCCCTGAACTGCAAGTCAGCACGCCTTTGGGATCCCGGGTGAAGCTCTTACAGTAGCTGGCTAGCTGGTGCTAGTGGCAGCAAGGCTGGTTGGCCTGATGAGCACTGACAGTCGCCTGCATAGTCTGCTGTTGGTGCTGCCTTGACATAAGCTTAGGCGTGACTGTTGCTAGGATGCTGGATGTCTGCTTCTCTATACTTTTGTTGCTAGGCGGCACACAAAGCATTGGGCATTGGAGCTGCAGTGGTGAGCACTGATTGGGTAGCATTTGCTTCAGTGTGGAAGGCTCCCACAACAGAAACAAAGTTTTCAGGACAATGTTGTGCTGAAAGCTTAATTTTTGTTTAAATCTCAGTGTATTAAGCTTTGCTACTAACAAATGTCCATTCATTGTAAAGAGAAGGGCTGCAGCATTTTAGTGCACACATCATAAAATGCCTCATTATTGTATGAAAACAGTTTCCTCACACAAGGCAGGTGTCAGAACTACGAGGGGCGTTCAAGTTCTAAGGTCTGCGATTTTTTTCTCAGGACTGGGAGCAGATAGACACATGCGGTTTAGTTTAAAATATGTGTGCACGCTTTGTGAATGCGTGACAGAGATGGCAGCACTGTACAGCACACAGAACTCTAGTGGTGGCGGTGAGAGTGAGGAGTGTTTTTGATACCTAAAATGGCGGCGTTTTCGTTACAAGAACAGTGAGTAATCATTCGTTTTCTCCACTTGCGTGGTGTGACACCCATTGAAATTCATCGCCAGTTGAGTGAGACATGTGGTGATGGTGTCATGAATGTGAAAATTGTGCGTTCATGGGTGCAACTGTTCAAAGAAGGCTGAACATCGTGTGACAATGAACCAAAACAATCTCAGCCTCGCACCAGCCGGTCTGATAACATGGTCGGGTGAGTTGAGAAAGTTGTTTTGGAGGATCGCCGATTGAGTGTGGAAAACATCGCCTCCAAAGTTGGCATTTCCGTGGGATCTGTGCACACAATCCTGCATGAAGACCTGTGAATGTGGAAAGTGTCCTCCAGGTGGGTGCAATGAATGCTGGTGGACAACCACAAGGCTGCACGCATGGCAATTTGCCAGACGATGTTGACACGTGATGAAGGCATGAATGGGACTTTCTTTTCATCAATTGTGACAATGGATGCCGTTTTTCAATCCTGAAACGAAGCACCAGTCAGTTCAATGGAAGCACACAGACTCACTGCCACCAAAAAAATTTCAGGTAAGCACCAGTGCTGAAAAAATGATGGTGGCCAGATTTTGGGACAGTGATGGCATAATCCTTACTCATTGCCTTCCAAAGGGCACTGCAGTGACAGGTGCATCCTACCAAGATGTTTTGAAGAACACTCTCCTTCCAGCACTGCGAGAAAAACAGCCAGAAAAGGCTGCACGTGTGCTCTTTCACCAGGACAATGCACCAGCACATCGGGTGTACGTGACGCAGCAGTTTCTTCGCGGAAATAACCTTGAAGTGGTTTCTCATGGTCCCTACTCACCTGACCTGGCTCCTAGCGATTTTTGGCTTTTCCCAACGATGAAAGACACTCTCCGTGGTCACACATTCACCAGTCGTGCCACTATTGTATCAGCGATTTTCCAGTGGTCAAAAGAGACTCCTACAGAAGCGTTCGTAGCGGTTATGGAATCATGGCGTCAATGTTGTGAAAAATGTGTATGGCTGCAGGGAGATTACGTTGAAAAGTGACAGAAGTTTCAAATTTTTTGTATGATTATTGTGTGAGAAAAAATCGGAGACCTTAGAACTTGAACACACCACGTACTTAAAGAACTAACAAATCTTGTAGGTAAACCCATCCTTTCACCAAAGCAGCTTGTAGGGGTGTTCTGTCAGTAATTTTCTTACCATAAAGAAAATGAACTAGTTTAGAATACAGTAATCTGAGGTCAGAGGTCCTCTAATGTGTCCTTTACCTTTTCATTCATTTTGTTAAAATACAAATTAGGTGGATCAAAATTAATTGAATATTATTAGCCTCCTTTCCTTATTTGGATAAATAAAAGTAGGTTTATGAGGTTGCCTTGCTGTGTGTGTCACCCGAGCCCCTGTCAGTGACTTCATAAATCCCTCATATCAGTAATACTAACATTACAGCCTCTCAGGAATTCATGATTTATTTAATCCGTCTTGCAGTGCATACACTCATTTATTTCCTTCTCTCCCTCGCACTACATGTTTCGGCATAATAATGCCATCTTCAGGTGCTTACTTATCCATGTCAGACCAGTTCATTGCATGCCATGTTCACACATTAAAATAACTAAAATATGTATCTATCATATACATTGTCAAACGTTAAAAATATTAAAATTGTTCAGGATACCACATCGCTACGTCGCCCCTCACTACGTCAGTCACGCCCATTCTCCTTTGTTGGAGCACTCCTTCANATACATATTTTAGTTATTTTAATGTGTGAACATGGCATGCAATGAACTGGTTTGACGTGGATAAGTAAGCACCTGAAGATGGCATTATTATGCCGAAACATGTAGTGCGAGGGAGAGAAGGAAATAAATGAGTGTATGCACTGCAAGACGGATTAAATAAATCATGGACTTAAATCAGTGCAACAGGACGCTAAAATATAACTCTCAGGAATTGTTGATGCTGTAACCTTAATATTCCTTGACTGGCCAAACTGAGCATTATAAAACATCTGTTTATCATGCCAGCTGAGGCCATCTCAGGGGCAACTGTACCACATGCACAATTCAGGTTTTTTAAAGTTCAAGTTTATATAATTGCTTTACTGACTGACTTACAACTTCATAGTAAAGATTCACATTACATATCATGTTAGATTCTCAGCGTCCATGTATTTATCCAATGGACAGTGAATACATGGACATTAAGTTAAACAATTGCAACAGGATGCTGAAATACAGAATTAGATACTCAGTTTGTAGTGAGAGGCACATGGATTATTAGTTCTTCCCAAAGCTTGTTATTATTAAGGTGCTCATATTTTTAGCTATGATAGTTACTATAGGTTTCAGCTGTGTCTGTAGTAGTCACGGTCAGGCTGTCAAGCTACCAAGCGCATCACCCAACATTCTGTTATCCTTTGAATTGGGGCAGATTTGCTAGCATAAATTATATAAAATGGCAGTAATCCAGCTCCAACCCAATCTAACCATGCCAAACATTTCCAGATGTGAAAAGATTATTTTCTCATGCTGCATGCTTGTTTCTTGCTTGGCTTATTCTTTGACCCTGAAGACGGAATTGATATGTTTGTCCAAAATATCAGTTTACTTTCAGTGGACTACATGGCCTTTCATCCTAGTTCATAATCACTGCTCTCACAAACTCAGATCCTACATATTGCAGTGTATCTGTTATAGACCCGTGGTTTGTATTTATTGCTTTGTGATGACAGAGAATTCTGAAGCTTATGGTACACTTTACAGATATATGTCGGAGATCCACTGCCAAAGATGATCTGTCATAAATGCCTCTATAAATTGGACACAGTGTATGATTTTCGTCTTAGATGTCTTGAAGCCAATACTACTCTGAAGACACAGTTATTGACCCTGACGCATATCACCGAGGTGAAGCAGTATCTGAATACTTTAGAATCGGCTTCATATGTGAGAAAGGTGGGTAAAGTTCAGCATTGTCACAGTGATGATGGCACTGATTGTCTTTGTGAAAGAAATGATGTGTGCGTCATAGTTCTCAGAATTTGGCACAACTTGAGTGGCAATTTGGAACTTGCAGTGCCAGGGCAATTTGAGTGATAGCAATGGCTACAGAGTCAGGAGAGTATAATTGCTGTAACATTCAAATGCATGCCGTACCATCATCAAACATTTAGATATGTAACAGGCAGGAGTTATAATTGTCATATGGTGAAAACCCCATTTAAAGTTTATTTTGAGAGAAGTGGGTTTTGAGCACTAAACTCATGAAATTAACTGGTGGGAATTTAACGCCAAGTATATTTGACTTGGGATTAATGACAATGAATAAGTCTTAAAATGAGGAACATTAAATGGAGGTTCCAGTGTATAATTTTTTTCCCCTGTGGTTTATTTGTCAATTCTTTCAGTGTTAGGACAGTATAGCATCAGATGGTAGGATGAGTTTGATGAATGTTGAATTCAAAAGGATTTCAAAGGAAGTGGTTATGGCCTAATTGAGATACTACAAAGTATTTGCCTGGAGGGGCTGTCATAGCATAGACATGGTGGAACATGCTAAAAAAGGGAACCTTATGAACATGAAAGAAAACTTCCACATTACATGGTAGCGTAGTTGGTTAAGGCACTATGCTACAAGCCGGAAGGTCACAGGTTCAAGTCGTGATGAGGTCATTGGATTTTTTTGACCTAATCCTTCCAGCCGCACAATGGCCCTGGGGTCAACTCAGCCTCTAACAGAAACGAGTACTCTGGGAATATTCTTTGGGGTAAAGGGCGGCTGGTGCATAAGGCTGACAATCTTGCTGCCATCTGTGAGCCTACTGTCTAGAAAATGTGGGAACCTCAACATCTCACAACCATATGGGCCTCCATGTCCTGTTACAGGGATACCTTTACTTCTTTAGTTTATCACTATAATAAACATAAACTAATAAAAGAGAAAAAACATAATAAGGAGAGTGATACTCAGAATGGTATGTTTGACATTATAGTAAACATTAGTATGTCCCCACACATACATCATGACACACAAGGTATATAAATACCTGACGTGTATACGTTAGAATAGTACAACAACACAAAGTGTTCTGTACAACAGGACCACGATATTAAAGGTAGGACTAAAATAAGAAACTCACCCTCTCATAAAATTAGGATTATAGAAATACTGCATAATACCCATAATATAATTGCTGCTTCCCCTTCTGCAGGCACAAAACCATGTTAGGATAGACAATCTTCCTTTAATGAGAAGGAATTCCAAGACACAAACCATTGATTCTAGTTTTAACAAAAAGATTTTTTAACTTTACTTTTAAACACTTGACTGTGTAAATAAATTAGTTATAATAACTGATAAATGTTCCAATCACTTCATGTACTTAATGCTGTTATAAGGTATAATTTTTATATGTTAATGACATTTTAATAGTGGTTTCCTAAATGCTGATTGCGTCATTCTGAAGATGGTCAATCTGACTGAAACATGTTAAGGAAAATGAAAAATTGAAATAAAATATGTTTTAATCAGTCACACTGGACAGTGTTGCGAGTCATATTATACTATTGCTAGTGTGATGGACCAGGATGAGCCAAGTCAAGTTTAAAAGAAATTTTAAATTACTTAACATAAACTTGCATAATATTTTTCAGCAGAAATTTGTTGATAATTTATTTTCTAGGCTGAGGTTTAAATGCTAAGTCAAGACTAAAAAGTTGTACACATGTGACACTTTCATTATTGCAGATGTAAAAACTGGCATAGAGCCCAATAGTACTTTCCACAAATTCTGGCTTTATATACTTGAAATATACTATGACCTTATTTTATGATAGACATTGCTGTCTAACATTGCATCCTATAGCATAAGTAGAATTTGGATTAAATTCCATCAAATGCAACAGTGTTCACTGAAACATTATGCACACAGCACCACAACCCCACCCGCAGCAAGGACAGCACCCACACAATACAGTTGACCACCGTGAAGGAATATGACCCTCATTGAGCTTCACAGCAAAATTATATTCAGTGTGAAGAAAGCAGTCTTGGGATTTGGCACCNGATTTCTTATATTTTTTCTTCTACCCTGAAGATGGAGGCGATACGTTCCTCCGAAACGTCGGTTAACACCACATATACACGGTGCCAAATCCCAGAAGACTGCTTTCTTCATAGTCGCCGCCGTGAAAGCCTCAAATGTTATATATTCAATGTGTTTTAACACATGCATGAAATACACGTGAAGCACATTTCCTTTGAAGTGTCGGTTGCCATCTGATGATGGCCATCATTGATCAAAACATGTAAAGGCTTTATTTTATTATTAAAATCACTGTTGCATTTGATGGAATCAAATTCACATTTTACTTATATGATGACCTTATTTAGTTTGACATTAGTGAAGTATTAAATGTTTCATCATTATTGTAATGGTACAGGAGGCAACAGAGAAGCCATTACACACTGATACTGCATCACCTGTCAGTAGGCAGGTGAAACCACCTGAGCCTGTGATCCCTAGCAGTAAGGTAGCAGTTACAGAAGAAAAAGTGGGGCCTGTACAACTTGACAGCAGTTCAGAAAATGTGTTTCAAGAGGTATTTCTGGCAGACTGCTCAAGTGATGTTTTTTTCCCTGAGCAAAGTCCTGATGAGAATGTGCAAAGAAATGAAAATGGAAATAATTTGGCCAAACCACTCAGAAGGTAAGTGGTGCCTACCCTGTAGCTTCCAAAATTAATTGCCATTTATTCTTGGAATCAGTTGGAACCTTCTGATACGCTTTTTGAATGAAATATCTCTCTTCTTAGCTACTGAAGTGGGCAGTATACTTGCTTACCGTTGCATGAAAGTTTTGCACCATAGCTACCATATATTACATACAGAAGTGCTCACTGTATTATTGGTATACATAATAGTAGTAGAACATTGTGATATAATCTGCCAGTCACTACAGTTCCCCAATTTTTTGTTTTTTTTTTGTCTAACAGAGAACAGACTGTGTCTGTAGCTCCTGTTGATACGTGTGCATCCTTTCCTGCTGTGAAGATAAAGCAGGAACCCCAGGATGACACCATGAAAGATCATCCTCAAGATGAATTTGGAGAACCCAGGAACCCAGTCAAGTCACAACCATCCCTACCAAGAAATGATGCTCTGCCCCGAGCAGATTTGGAACCTCTGCATGTAAATCTGGAGAAGGTGAAACAGGAGAAGGTGGACACAGCAGACATAGAATGTTCAAAGTGCAAAATCAGGTTCCAAGATAACGGACAACTGCAGAAGCATGTGTGTTCAGTGTCGCAGTGGAGTTGTGAGCACTGCAACAAGTACTTCAAGTCAAAAGATACGCTTTACAAACATAAAAAGTACTTCTGTCCCAAGAAGAAGAACAGCTGTATTTGCAAGGGCTGTGGTAAGCTGTTCAGTTCTTTGATTGAAATGGCACAGCATCAGAAGGTGCATCTCCGAGTCTGTGTCTCTCTTCAAGAGGAGAACCTGTTTACATGTACTGTGTGCAGAAAGAAATTTGCAGCAAGATCCATGTTGGAGATGCACAAGAAATCGCACTCTTCTGTGAACTTTTATATGAACCAAACTGAAGGTGTTTCAGTAGGAAAGGTCCTGGTTAAAAAATTCAAATGTCAGTATTGTCCAAAATGCTATACAAGAAGAGATAAATTAAGAACTCACATGAAATCTCATTTTGTGGGAGAGAAGCCTAACAACATGCCTGAAGGGTCTGTGGAAAGCAAACAGACAAACACTAGTGATGCAGTGCCTCAGTCATCAAAGAAGTGCAGCTGTAAGTACTGTGAATATGTCTGTGATGATTCCGCAGCTTTGTGGCTGCACATGCTACAACAGCATTCTTCTGAAAAGGCATACAAATGCAATAAATGTGGCAGAGGTTTCAGTCACCTGCATGCCTATTCTAATCACAAGAAAACACACAATGCCAAGATACGCTGTAGGGTGTGTGAAAAACCATACTCATCAAGCAAAGCATTGCGAGAGCACGAGTACAGCAAACACAGCATTCAGAAGGCTCCACACCACTGTAGACTGTGCACAGAGAGCTTTGTGACACGGTCAGCACTCCTTATTCATGGCAGGATTCATCACACAAAAGGTAAAAATGATGCCCCTCTGTTGAAAGAAGCAGAGATAAAGGTTGGGACACTTCCATGTAGCCTCTGCAGTGAGCGGTTTCCAAGCCCAGTAACCCTTGTAGCACACATGCAGACTCATATTGGCTTGGGGATGGGGAACAGGGATGTGAGAAATGAGAACATAGGTAATCTGGACCTGGGGTCTCAGCCCCAGAGCAGCCGTGAGAAAGAGGAGGAACATCTGCCTTTGACATGTAAAATTTGCTTCAGACTTTTCAGTAATAAGGGTGGTTTGCAGCGTCATATAAAGATACATGCTACAGGAAAGCATGTGTTCTATCCCTGCAAAGTATGCGGAAAGAAGTTTGTATCACAATCTACGTATGAAGCCCATGCGGCCACACACATGGTCTCAAAATCATTTCATTGCCATCACTGTAATAAAATATTCTTCAGGGAGGAAGCGTTTAAGTGTCACATATGTGAGAATGCTGAGAAGCAGGCATGCTTGACATGTGGCATTCTGTTGACAGAAGAACAGCACTTGAATCATGTTTGTGAAGGCAGCATTTTGAAGAGTTCAGAGTTGCTGGTGAGGTGCACCGTCTGTCCCGCGGTATTCAGTTCCACAAAGGCACGGAACAATCACATGAGGATCCATGGGAGGCAGCTCATGCTTACATCATCACTCCCAGCAAATTTGAAGAGCATGTTTGTTAAAATGAGCAACGGCTTGTATAAGTGTAACATTTGTAGCAAGTTGACAACAACCCAACAAGGTGCAGCAGGACATTCTAGGTGGCATACTTGTCCGCAGCCACTGAAACAATACCATTGCCCTTTCTGTAACCGCAAATACACTACAGAGACTGGACTTTACACCCACATCACTGCCGAACACCCAGAGATGCCAGGTTAGAGATACAGCAGGGCACAGAACGGAGCATTCATCATTCTTACATAAGTGTGGAACCAGCTGGGGTCCCACAGGAGCAAGTCTGTCTTCATTTTTACCTTGCCACGAATTTCACAATATAAAATTATGGAGACCTACCTGGATTTCTGGTAGAATTAGTGTCCTTCTGATGGGATTCTTTGATTTGTCAAAACCAAATGCTTGCTTTGTTACAAGCTTCACTGCAAAATATTGGCACTATGTCCTGTCATATCATAGCAAATGTTGGGTGTCCTGCATTGCGTATTCAGTTTTATTGGACATGGTTTCTAGTCAACTGTAGAACAAGAACAAGTACCTCTTTGATATTAGAAACTGAAAGTTCAATGCTGACTTTTTGACCACATTCTGCTCATGTTCATTCCATTTGACATTACAGAACATGTATCACCAAGCAGCTTCTTGGATGCTTTGAATGTCTGTATGTTTTTTGCTTGCCCCATGTGATATACAATTTAGGGAGCATGAAAACTTGAAAATGAAACAAAAGGAGTATGAACTTGGAAAACCTAAATTGAAAAGTGGAAAATATTGGAAATTTGGTTTCATAGTACAGGATTATTACACATGGTGTCCTGAAATTCACACTGGGATTTGAATACCATAATACATAGTGAAAAAAGAAAACAAGATATTGTAGTAGATTCTAAAGGGTTCTGATCGTGATGTGTAACACTCAGAATTACTGGGTTTTTGGACTTCCCCCCCCCCATTTTCTGGTATTCTAGAGACTAGAAAACACGTTTCGCAAACATCCAGTCACTAGAATACCGGATGATGGGAAAAGTCCAAAAACCCAGTAATTCTGAAGGTATTATAGGTTAACTCGGAAAGTTTCTGTCTCTAAATTTCCATGTGCAGTCCTTTCATTGCATAACATACCTAGATAATAATTAATCTCAATTCATAGTGCCCACATAATTTTTCCCAAGCCCTTCACTCCCTGGCTGTGGTCTGGAATGAAACTTGGTACAGTGTGACAGCTGTAAACTTAACAGACAATATTAGCCCTGAAATCTATATTCTCTATACAGACATCAACAAAGCATGAAGAAAGCAGTCTTCTGGGATTTGGCACCGTGTATATGTGGTGTTAACCCACGTTTTGGAGGAACGTATCGCCTCCATCTACCCTGAAGATGGAGGTGATACGTTCCTCCAAAACTTCAGTTAACACCACATATACACGGTGCCAAACCCCAGAAGACTGCTTTCTTCATAGTCACCGCCGTGAAAGCCTCAAATCTTACATCAACAAAGCATGTTTTCTTTTGGGCTGTAGAACAGAACGGTGCATATACATACCATCCAGTTAGCTGCCATTTCTCTCCACAGATCCGTGAGTAAGAGCTCGGAGAGAACTGATGCAGACAGTTGTGCCTGGACATCTCACAGAGTTAGGCTTCAACAACTGCAGTCATCTTGCTCTTTGAATTAGGGCACATACCCAGTACAGCCACACAGAGCACTTTTGTCATAACCCCACAAGAAGAAGTTACAGGATGTCAGATTTTGTGATTTTGGAGGTCAAGTGATGGCGGTTCACCTTATCATTGCCCAGGAAACCTGTCATTGAATATATCGGGCCTCACCTCTTTGTTCAGTGCCCAGGAAATCTGTCACTGAGAGTTGTTGCTTAAAAGTTTCTGTTTTGTCTTCTTCCATCTCTGGAGAGGTGAAGTTTTCCAGCATAAAATAGGTGGGAGGTGAGGGCCCATAACTTGGCTTCCAGGACCACCAGACTTGATGTCCTATGGCTTTCTTGTTGTGGAATTGTGTCAAAAATGCCTTGATAGGTGTATCTGGAAAGTGATCATCTTAGATGAACTGAAAACAGTGAATCACAACAGCTGCTGATAACAGTTTCCAGAAACAATGAGGCACTTATGGTCTAAAATATTACTGGTTAGACTTCTGTTGTGTCCCAAAGGGAACACACGCAGAAATTTACTGGCAGAGACTGTTTAAGCTAAACTTCATTTCATGAATGGTGACTTTCTGGACAGTTTTGTGTTTTCTAATATGTATTGCTTATAATAAGAAAGAGATATTGGTACCCTCAGTTTCTTAATGTTCCATAAATGGAAAAATCTCATACAAAAGAAGACACTTTTCTGGCACTTCTGTTACAGCAAGCAATTTCTAACTAGCTGTGACTTATTTTCTGCAACGTCTTGCATGAGCTAATTGCTTCCAAAGGTGTTCATAGCTGGTGACTTGTAAAGATACTGTTAAACCACCCTCCTGGACTCTCTTCTTTTGGAGATGAAAGTGCCCACTCCAGAATTCGAGAATCATATATCTGAACAGGGAATTATGGAAGTAAGTGCCCAGCATGCACACACAGAACCATTCCAGTTCCAAATCGGAAGAAATTGGTCATTGGTTGTATGAGAGATTATATATGAGGGGGTACCCAAAAGAAACCGAACTTATTTTTTTTAAAACTTATTTATTCAAATTTTAAGCACAAACCTTCAATCCACTTCAAAGTACTCTCCACTTACACTAATACACTTGTCTAGTCTTTTATTCCACTTTTCAAAACATTGTCTAAATTCATCTTTTGAGATGCTTGACAGCGCCTCCGTTGTTTTTTCCTTTCATGTCTCTTTTCATTCAAGGAAACAAAAAAGTCGCACGGGGCAAGGTCGGGTGAGTATGGAGGG